CCCCAGCTGGGCAGAGCCCAGGGCATGTCAGCATCACGCAGACAAGAGATGACGGGAGGGCTGGAGCCGGGGAGCGGGGTGGGGATGCTGGAGAGACAGGGGCAATGAGGCAGGGGCACGACTCAGGGACAAAGGTACTGCAGTGTTGTACAAACTTGGTTCCAGCCTCCTCAACCCCTTGGGTGGCAGGGCCGTCCACTAAAACTGGTGTCTGTGGGGAAGTCCCAGAAGTGCCCATGGAACCTGAGAGGCAGCAGTGCCCTCCTGGAGTGCGGGCTGCAGTGGCCCCCACTGACTGGCTCTTGGTCATGCACCCAGGTGGGCACCCTGGGAGAAGCCTCCCTGCACCCTCTGCCACCTTTGTCTGGGCTTCAGCATGGAGCTCCATTCTTGTTTGGTGGTAGGATACCCTGCAGGTGGAGATGGGGGGCAAAGGTGTTTTCTGAAGACAAAAAAGAACCTGTCCACAGAGTGTGGTGTTCAGACAGGAAGATTCCAGAATGACGTTGCTCCTGTGCATGCAAAAAAAAATGGTGACCTAGGGCTAGGAGCCAAGATGCTGGTGTGAATAGAGCAGTGGAAATCTCCTCCCAAAACCACATATATTTTTGAAAATACAACAAATACAACTATTCCTAAAGGAGAGACCAGAAGACACAGAACAACAGCCAGACTACATCCACACCTGCAAGAACCCAGCACCTCACGAAGCAGGTAAGATACAAGCCATGGCCCAGTGGGACCCGATCGCCCCTCACCCCAGCCCCCAGCAGGAGGAGAGGAGTTGGAGCGGGGAGTGAGAGGGAGCCCAGGACTGCTAAACACCCAGCTGTAGCCATCTGCACCAGAGCGCAGACACAGTGCATGCGTGGGGTGCTGGAAACCAGGGAAACAGGACAGTAAGACGTGTGAGTGCGTCCCCATAACTGGCAACCCTGGAACAAAGCAAAGCGAGTGCTTTTTGAAAGTCTTAAAGGGACAGAGACCCCACCGCTAGACAGAAGCATCCCGGGACACTTAGCCCAGCTGCTGGGAATCCCAGGGAACTCTGGGCACCCTAATGCCCTGGGAGGCAAGGCAGCTCAGAGGCCCCTCATGGAGATAAACAACCCCCTGGCCGTTTCCCCTCTGACGTGGCTGCGCCGTATCAGAGTAGCAGCCCGAGGCAGGCCACGCCAACAGCAACCGCGGAGCTAAACTCCATAGCGGCCGGGCAAGAATCAGAAGCCCTATCTGTGCACAGCTGTTCAGCACAAGCCACTAGAGGTCGCTGTACTCCTAGTAGAGGAAAGCCACAAACCAACAAGAAGGGACGTTCTCCCAGCCGTCACTTGCACCAGCTCTGCAAACTATCTTTATCGCCATGAAAAGGCAGAATAATTTGATACAGACCAAAATCACAACCCCTGAGAAGGAGGTAGACCTAACCAGTCTTCCTGAAAAAGAATTCAAAATGAAAATCATAAACATGCTGGCGGAGCTGCAGAGAAATATACAAGAACTAAAAGATGATGTCCTGAGATTACAGAAATGAAACAATCTCTGGAAGGATTTATGAACAGAATGGATAAGATGCAAGAGGCCATTGATGGAATATAAACCATAGAACAGGAACACATAGAAGCTGATGCAGAGAGAGATAAAAGGATCTCCAGGAATGAAAGAATATTAAGAGAACTGTGTAACCAATCCAAAAGGAACAATATCCACATTATAGGGGTACCACAAAAAGAAGAGAGAGAAAAAGGGATAGAAAGTGTCTTTGAAGAAATTATTGCTGAAAACTTCACCAACCTGGGAGAGGAAATAATCGAACAGACCACGTAAATACACAGAACTCCCAACAGAAGGGACCCAAAGAGGACAACACCAAGACACATAATAATTAAAATGGCAAAGATCAAGGACAAGGACAGAGTATTAAAGGCAGCGACAGAGAGAAAAAAAGGTCACCTACAAAGGAAAACCCACCAGGCTATCAGCAGACTTCTCAACGGAAACCTTACAGGCCAGAAGAGAATGGCATGATATATTTAATGCAATGAAACAGAAGGGCCTTGAACCAAGGATACTGTATCCAGCATGATTATCATTTAAATATGAAGGAGGGATTAAACAATTCCCAGACAAGCAAAAGTGGAGGGAATTTGCCTCCCACAAACCACCTCTACAGGGTATTTTAGAGGGACTGCTTTAGATGGGAACACCCCTAAAAAGAGCACAGAACAAAACACCCAACATATGAAGAATGGAGGAGGAGGAATAAGAAGGGAGAGAAATAATCATCAGACTGTGTATATAATAGCTCAATAAGTGAGTTAAGTTAGACAGTAAGATAGTAAAGAAGCTAACCTTGAACCATTGGTAACCAAGAATCTAAAGCCTGCAATGGGAATAAGTAAATATCTTTCAATAATCACCTTAAATGTAAATGGACTGAATGCACCAATCAAAAGACACAGAGTAATAGAATGGATAAAAAAGCAAGACCCATCTATATGGTGCTTACAAGAGACTCACCTCAAACCCAAAGACAGGCACAGAGTAAAAGTCAAGGGATGGAAAAAGATTTTTCATGCAAACAACAGAGAGAAAAAAGCAGGTGTTACAATACTAGTATCAGACAAAATAGACTTCAAAACAAAGAAAGTAACAAGAGATAAAGAAGGACATTACATAATGATAAAGGGCTCAGTCCAACCAGAGGATGTAACCATTATAAATATATATGCACCCAATACAGGAGCACCAGCATATGTGAAACAAATAGTAATAGAATTAAAGGAGGAAATAGAATGCAATGCATTCATTTTGGGAGACTTCAACACACCACTCACCCCAAAGGACAGATCCACCAGACAGAAAATAAGTAAGGACACAGAGGCATTGAACAACACACTAGAACAGATGGACCTAATAGACATCTACAGAACTCTACATCCAAAAGCAACAGGATACACATTCTTCTCAAGTGCGCATGGAACATTCTCCAGAATAGACCACATACTAGGCCACAAAAAAGAATTTGATCCAAAATAAAGTCTGAGCAAATCAATATGTAATAGTTAAACATAATAGGCAATCATTTTCATTTGCCATTTTTGGTCATTAGTGAGAAAAGCATGCTGAGTTTTCTTTCTTTTAAATAAATATAATCTGTTCCTATACATTATGAGCATATTTTTCGTTCCTAACCTGATTAATATCAGTACCAGGGATTATTGGTAGTTTCCTCTTTTTTATATTCTGTATTTAAATATTTTCTTTAGGTTTCATTTTAATTTGCTTGTGGCAAATTTCTAATTTCACTACTTTGAATTTATGAAATCACATGCCTTCTGGTCTGTGCGACATGTGGTGATGATTTGTCCTACCCCACATTGTAAAAACCCACCAGGATATTTTTACTAAGAGGATCTGTCATTTAAAAAAATTTTAGATCTAGTATGTTTATTTCCTAAACCACTCTAATGTGCCAGATGAAAGCTTACCTTTTTTCAATTAATACTCAATTATCTTAATGCTGTACATTCAGTAATTTTCTTGCTATTGTCTTAAGTTCACAATGAGTTTTTCCTAAACATCTAAATACAAATCTACTAAAGAGTTCTATAACACATGCCATACATAGGATCTATTAATAAATATTGCCCCCAAGATAAGGGACACAGAAAAATAATTGGTATCTCTCCTGTCCTCAGCATTACTCCATAGGGACAATTTAGTGTGGTGGCAAGAAAAAAAATAATACACATATATGCATTAGACAGGAAGAACTAAAACGTGTCAGAGTGGTGCCATCCATCCATCCTGACGTGGACCGCCTGCTCACGTAACGTCCCTACCCGTGTGTCTCCTCACCCACACCCTGCTCCTGCTCTGTTCTCTTTTCTATAAAGCCTGTCACCTTCTAACATACTATGCAACTTACTAAGTTAGGAACACTTCTGACTGTTCCCCTCACCCAGAATGTAAGTTTTTTGAGAACAAAGTCATTTTGATGTTTTGTACATGTTCATCTCAAATACCTAGCAAAGTGCCAGACACACATAAAATCATTTCTTGGAGCACTGAATGTCACCTTAACTTTCTTACCCATTTCTGCATTCTGTTGCCTGTCCTATCTTCACTAATTCACTACCCTCCCTTCAGGTTCAAGTTCCCTAAGTGCTGTCAAGTATGGAAAAGAGACATAATCAGTGGAAAAGGTGATTAAGAGTTCAGCTAAGCCCCATGCTCAGCTTCCTTCCCTTTTCAGATTCAGTGTACTGTTCACCTAGATGGTAGGCTCCCTCCCTGCACAAGGGCAGGACTCATGTCTGTCACCCAGGTGCCCCACCACCCGGTGAGCGGTCATGTAGGACAAGGATGGAGGTCTCCTGACATCACGCAATCACAGCAGCGAGAACATAGTGTGACCCTGCACCGATCATGTGAGTGAAGACTGTAAGGAAAGAACTGGAAGTTGAGGGAACAAACCCTAGTGTTCCCTTCATCCAATGGAAATCCTGTCCCTTCAGTTGGGACAAACTGGGGCCCCTGGGAAGAACACTTTGATGAGACCCAAGCTGTTTCCAGAGGGGTTTCTCCAACTCTCTTGGACCCAGTGGCCCAGCCACAGCTACAGGACATACACACCACGCTCCCTCCAGACAGGATGGAGGAGGCAGGTCCTCAGTCAATTCTCTTTCCCAAAGAACAGAAAAGGATGCACACCATCCTGAAAACTAAAAAAAATTAGGTGCATGCCCACCCTGAAGATGTGACACGGGTGTGTAGTCTTAACAGGCTCAGAGCAAGACTCCAAGTCAGGAAATGATAGCTTTCTATGCAATTAATTTTTAAACCTGAGTTCTCACTGACTATCTTGTAAAGCTTAAAAATTAGTCTCAAAAGAAAATCGCACAGCATGAATTTCAAATGACCGCATCCAACGCCAGCACCAAGGGAGTAAGTCCGTGGTGGCGACTGTAAAGCCCACACAAACTTGACCCCATGCGTAAATATACAGATTCTTTATTTGTAACACAACTTCACACAACCATTTATAAGATCAGACAATGTGAATCCTGTTCCACATTTGTCTTTCGTAGTTTATCATGCATTTACTTCAGCTGTGCATGTAGTTTTCCTGGTTTCGACTATGATTCAATGCCTTGACAACTGCTGAGGGGAGTCCTCTGCACAGGATTAAAGAACCCGAGAAACTCCAGTCAGAGGAAAGAGGCGGGACCCACCTGAGGGGGCCCTGCACATACAAGGTGATCACCATACTGCCACGGGAAAATAGAACAAGTAGAATGGAATTAAGAACGAACATTGGGTATTTAAAACCACGTGAACAGAGTATAAAAATTTAAGTGTTAAGGCGAGTACATCTCCAATGAGGCTACCTCCCTGTGGGCCTTCTCTCCTTAGCTATGGAAGGTGAGTGTCACGTGATGTCATTTTCAGTATTCTGATTCCCTGTAAGTCCACGTATCCCCTGTCACGCCTCACATTTCTCACAGACTACGCTCCTTACGGGTGGACATGTTTGGGACAAAGGCTTCCAACAGTGTTCATTGGGCTGCCCTCACTGCCCAAGTTCCCCAACACAGGACATCAGGGAACACGTAAACAAATGAACAGAGGGCTGAGAGCCACTTACCTGTCAGACATCTCCCCACTAGAAAATAATCCATGTGGCACGAAAACCTGAGGTTGTGCAGGCATTTTTTTTCCCATTTATAGTCCTATCTCCATCCCTTCCTCCTCCTCCACTTTTCTCTTGAAAATAAGGCTGAGGTGCCTTTCTGAGTGTAAAGCAAGCGGGAGCCCTGTGGCTGAAGGCTTTCACCAGGAAGCAGGAGTCACTGTCTCTTGCGCACCTTCTCACAGGTACAGTAAGACCTGAGTTGGTCCAACTACAATGATTCCTTAGGTGACAGAGGTGGTGATCTGTCACAGGTCTCAGCAGTGACAATTATGCAGTTCCTCCTCGTTATGGATACATGGGTGGCAGGTAAGGTCTTCCTTCTGGCCGAGGACTGTTCTGAGTCGCTGCACTCTGAGTTGCTTCCCCAAAGGCTCTGTGACGTGCATGAGGTGGGCCCACTGGGGACGCGCCTTCCGCACGTCCCAGGATGAGCCCTGCGATGGGAAGCCGGGGCTGGGAAGAAGCTTCTCTCCGACAGGATGATTTGTGTTCTAAGAGCCAGTGATGAAGCTCTGCAGCTTTCTTGCACTGACCAGGTCTCCCCTCACTGTGGGAAGAGCAGGCGAGGCCCTCCACGCTCACGGCTCGCTCAGGGGTGGACCCGCTGGTGCTGAAGGAGGTGGGATCGGCGCTTGAAGGCCTTCCCGCACGCTGGGCACTGGTGCGGCGCCTCAGCCGTGTGGACGACAGCATGCTGCGTGAGATAGGTGCTCCGGTGGAAGGCCTTGCCGCACTGGCCGCACGTGTAGGGCCGCTCCCCGGTGTGCGTGCGCTGGTGCTGCGCCAGTTCGGAGCTGCACCGGAAGGCCTTGCCGCACTGGCTGCACTCGCAGGGCTTCTCCCCCGTGTGGGTGACGGAGTGCTGCAGCAGATGCGCTCGGTCACCGAACGACTTCCCACACTGTGCGCACTCAAAGGGCTTTTCTCCGCTGTGGGTCCTGTTATGCCGGATGAACGTGGAGCGGTGGCTGAAGGCCTTGCCGCAATGGCCGCACGCATAGGGCTTCTCCCCGGTGTGAACTGGCTCATGCTGGGCCAGGTAGGACCTGCGCCTGAAGGCCTTCCCGCACTCAGGGCACCGGTAGGGCTTGTTCCCCGAGTGGATGAGGCAGTGCCGCGTGAGCGTGGAGCTCTGGCTGAAGGCTTTCCCACACACATCGCACGCGTAAGGCTTCATTCCGGTGTGCACCCGCTGGTGCCGGGCAAGGTACCACTTCCTGGTAAAGCCTCGCCCACACTGCCTGCACTTGTAGACGTTGCTCGCGCCATGAATCCCGGTGCCTTTTCCCTGTCCTCCTGGGTCACATTCCCGGAGGTCGCTTCCCTGTGAGACTCTGTCCTGTGATACCCTGGAGTACAGACAGTCACCTGCCCCTGAGCTGCCGTCCTCGGGCCTCACTTCCCCAGGGGAGGCCTCCTTGCGGACGTCTGTCCCAGGCCTCGGCTCCCCCTTCTGCACCTCCACAAGCCCTTCCTGATCCCCAGCCTGCCCCAAACAGGAGCCCCCTGCAGATCCTGGCTCCAGGCTCCCGGGCAGCAAGCCTCCCTCAGACAAAACCTGCAAGTCTCTGGTCCCAAGTTGTGCTCTGTCACCTGAAAAGAATCCGATATAAAAAGGGGGCTTTCAGTGATGCACAGGGAAGAAACAGTCCACACTGCAGTGGGGAATAGGGTGAAAACAGCGTCTCTGACATCTGCTGGGTCCATCTTTACAACCCAGCTTTCCTGTCACTTCTACGGTCGTTTCATGCTTGAAACCATTCCAGGGAAAGTCAGAGGGCAGGTGGACCACGGGACAGAGGAGCCGGAGTACAGACGCTCTCGGCCCCTAGCAGGGCAGGGAGGGGAATTCTGACTTCCCTGTCTGGGGGCATCTGCCCCAAGAACACGATGAGGGCAGAAAGAAGGAGCAGCCGACGAGGCTGGGGGAAAAGAGGCAACGTCCCAGGGGACGAGGGTTATGGAGAGTCGGTGCCGACAGGAGGGGAGGGGACGGCACAGCCCTGGCAGGGGCTGGGGTCACGAGGGGAGGGAGCTGACGCTGAAGGTGCGGCCACACCTGGGGAGAATGGAGGAGGAAGGGCAGGGACACATGGGGCTGAGTGGGAAAAAGAGGTGAGCTGTGGCTCTGGGGGCGGCCTGGGCAAGGGGAAGCCAGAGGGCAGGGGCAAAAACCACGGCCTTGCTCTGCCTGTCCAGTGCGCTGAGCTCGGGTGGGTTTCTTTATTTCTAAAGTCACCATTTCCACATATGAGAAAGGAGGACACTTGGTTTCTCAGGGTGCAGTGAGGGTTAAAGGAGAAAATGCCCATAAAGCGCTCAGCAGGGTTCTTGACGTGTGTTTAGTGAATTGTGGATCACCATCCTTGTTTGCGAGAGTTAGTTTTTTTTGTCAGCTCGGCTAGGCTACTGTGCTGTTTGGTCAGACATCACTCCAGACGTTGCTATGATTTATTTTTTGGTGAACTGGCAGAATGAGAAAAGCAGACAGTCCTTCACAAGGTGAGTGCGCCTCCGCCAAGCAACTGAGGACCTTAAAGGAAAAGACTCACATCCCTGGAGGGAAGGAGCTCTGGCCGCAGACTCAGGCTGCAACAGCAACTCCTCCGGCGTACGGCCTGCCTGTGGACGTCAAGCAGTTCCGCCCTCACGATCGTGTGGGCCCCTTCCTCAGTGTCACACGGGCGGCTGGCTCCGACTTCCCGGAGAGCCCTGAGCTGCTGCACTGGGCGAGCAGGCGACAGCAATGGCCCCNGGGACAGATGTAGATCAACATAAACAATTAAGCATGAGAGATGTATAATTTCCTCAACTAGTATCAAAGCAAGTGAAAAGTAATTTTTACAGAGAAATTTAGATTAAGGAGGTAAAATACTATTAGGAGAGGTTGTAGGAAACTTCCACACTGTCTATGATCAATCAGCTCATACTTCTGTTGAGCCTCTGTCTCTCTGATCAACGTTCAATGGACACATGAACAAAATAAACTGGAAGTGCCAACTGTAGAAGCCATGTTACAATCTATCGTGGAAGTCCCACTGAGATATGGTCTGCATTGCCTGTCACCACAGACCCCAGCCTCCGCCAGGTGTGGTACCCACAGAAGTCCCTTGTACCTTGCTGTTAAGGGCAAGTCAAGTCCCCAAAGATGTGGCAATCAGCACTTGTCTAAACAATGCTTTGTGTTGAGATTCATGGCTTTTCATTCTCAGGTTGATACCTGTTTTGTTATTGGTTCCTAGATGTTTGGGATCCTTGGGGGATCAGGCTACCCATTTTCAAACATTTTGGCTGTCTTATGAGTTACTTTTTTTCTGAGCTGTCTTAAAGTGTTCTTTGCCATAAGTGGAATCATTGGGTAAAACACAGGTACTGCCCTGTAAGCCTGTTGCTCAAGCTAGCCTCACAGACCAGTGGGTTTGCATTTCTCACTCTACTGGCAACTATGGGGACAAACTTGCTCTGGAGAAGCTGAAGGCCTTTCCTCTCAGATCAGGAAGAAGATAAAGATGCTCACTCATCACTTTTATTCAATACAGAATTGGAAGACCTAGCCAGAGCAATTAGTCAAGAAAAAGAAATTAAAGGCATACAAATTGGAAAGAAAAGAGTAAAATGGTCACTTTTTGCAGGAGACATGACACTATATAGAAAATCCTAAAGACTCCACACAAAAATGGTTAGAACTGAGGGAATTTGCCTCCCACAAACCACCTCTGCACGGTATTTTAGAAGAACTGCTCTATATGGGAGTGCTCCTCAAAAGAGCACAGATGAAAACACCCAACATACGAAAAAAGGAGGAGGAGGAATAAGAAGGGAGAGAAATAAACAAGGATCAGACAATGTTCATAATAGCTCAATAAGTGAGTCACGTTAGACAGTAAGATACTAAAGAAGCTAACCTTGAACCTTTGGTAACCAAAAATCTTATTAGGATTGTGATTTCCAGGACCTAACTACTCACCTTTACATAGAATAATAAACTTATATCAGACTGAAAATGGCAATAAGTACATATCTTTCAACAGTCACCCCAAATGTAAATAGACTGAACGCACCAATCAAAAGACACACAGTAATAGAATGGATAAAAAAGCAAGTCCCATCTATATGCTGCTTACAAGAAACTTACCTCAATCCCAAAGACATGGACAGACTAAAACTCAAGGGACTTCAACATACCACTCTCCCCAAAGGATAGATCCACTGGGCAGAAAGTAAGTAAGGACACGGAGGCACTGAACAACACACTAGAACAGATGGACCTAATAGACATCTATAGAACTGTACATCCAAAAGCAACAGGATACACATTCTTCTCAAGTGCACATGGAACATTCTCCAGAAGGGACCACATACTAGCTCACAAAAAGAGCCTCAGTAAATTCCAAAAGATTGAAATTCTACCAACCAACTTTTCAGACCACAATGGCATAAAATTAGAAATAAATTCTACAAAGAAAACAAAAAGATTCACAAACACATGGAGGTTTAACAACATTCTCCTAAATAATCAGTGGATCAATGACCAAATTAAAATGGATATCCAGTAATATATGGAAACAAATGACAACAACACAAAGCCCCAACTTCTGTGGGACGCAGCGAAAGCAGTCTTAAGAGGAAAGTATATAGCGATCCAGGCACACTTAAAGAAGAAAGACCAATCCCAAATGAATAGTCTAACAACACAATTATCGAAACTGGAAAGAGAAGAACACATGAGGCCTAAAGTCAGCAGAAGGATGGACATAATAAAGATGAGAGAAGAAATAAACAAAATTGAGAAGAATAAAACAACAGAAAAAATCAATGAAACCAAGAGCTGATTCTTTGAGAAAATAAACAAAATAGATAAGCGTCTAGCCAAACTTATTAAGAGAAAAGGAGAATCAACACACATCAACAGAATCAGAAATGAGAATGGAAAAGTCACGACAGACTACACAGAAATACAAAGAATGATTAAAGTCTACTATGAAAACCTATATGCCAACAAGCTGGAAAACCCAGAAGAAATGGACAACTTCCCAGAAAAATACAACCTTCCAAGACTGACCAAGGAAGAAACACAAAAGTTAAAAAACCAATTATGAGCAAAGAAATTGAACCGGTAATAAAAAAACTACCGAAGAACAAAATCCACGGGCCAGACGGATTTACCTCGGAATTTTATCAAACATACAGTGAAGACATAATACCTATTCTCCTTAAGGTTTTCCAAAAAATAGAAGAGGAGGGAATACTCCTAAACTCATTCTATGAAGCCAACATCACCCGCATACCAAAACCAGGCAAAGACCCCACCAAAAAAGAAAATTACAGACCAATGTTCCTGATGAATGTAGATGCAAAAACACTCAATAAAATATTAGCAAACCAAATTCAAAAATATATCAAACGATCATACACCATGACCAAGTGGGATTCCTCCCAGGGATGCAAGGATGGTACAACATTCGAAAATCCATCAACATCATCCACCACATCAACAAAAAGAAAGACAAAAACCACATGATCATCTCCATAGATGCTGAAAAAGCATTTGACAAAATTCAACATCCATTCATGATAAAAACTCTCAGCAAAATGGGAATAGAGGGCAAGTACCTCAACATAATAAAGGCCATATATGATAAACCCACAGCCAGCATTATACTGAACAGCGAGAAGCTGAAAGCATTTCCACTGAGATCGGGAACCAGACAGGGATGCCCACTCTCCCCACTGTTATTTAACATAGTACTGGAGGTCCTAGCCACGGCAATCAGACAAAACAAAGAAATACAAGGAATCCAGATTGGTAAAGAAGAAGTTAAACTGTCACTATTTGCAGATGATATGATACTGTACATAAAAAACCCTAAAGACTCCACTCCAAAACTACTAGAACTGATATCGGAATACAGCAAAGTTGCAGGATACAAAATCAACACACAGAAATCTGTAGCTTTCCTATACACTAACAACGAATCAATAGAAAGAGAAATCAGGAAAACAATTCCATTCACCATTGCATCAAAAAGAATAAAATACCTAGGAATAAACCTAACCAAGGAAGTGAAAGACTTATACTCTGAAAACTACAAGTCACTCTTAAGAGAAATTAAAGGGGACACTAATAAATGGAAACTCATCCCATGCTCATGGCTAGGAAGAATTAATATCGTCAAAATGGCCATCCTGCCGAAAGCAATATACAGATTTGATGCAATCCCTCTCAAATTACCAGCAACATTCTTCAATGAATTGGAACAAATAATTCAAAAATTCATATGGAAACACCAAAGACCCCGAATAGCCAAAGCAATCCTGAAAAAGAAGAATAAAGTAGGGGGGATCTCACTCCCCAACTTCAAGCTCTACTACAAAGCCATAGTAATCAAGACAATTTGGTACTGGCACAAGAACAGAGCCACAGACCAGTGGAACAGATTAGAGACCCCAGAAATTAACCCAAACATATATGGTCAATTAATATTTGATAAAGGAGCCATGGACATACAATGGCAAAATGACAGTCTCTTCAACAGATGGTGCTGGCAAAACTGGACAGCTACATGTAGGAGAATGAAACTGGACCATTGTCT